AGGTCTCAAACAGTGTTGCCAATTTAGCAATTTTGTTGCTAAATTTAGCAACTTTTCAGACTACCCTAGCAACCTTTTCTTCCAAAAGCACCTAGCAACAAATTTAGCTGTTTAAAACTTTTAGCGACTTTTGATAAGTGACTCATATGATAAAAAGGCACACATTTACCATTTAAATTATACAAAAAGAGGAAAGATGCCTAGCAGTACACACATCACGTGAATTAAGTTAGTTGCTATTTACAATTGTTTAATAATAATAAATAATTTAGTAATTTAATAATTGTTCATATATGATACACTTTGTTAGTAGCTTGTACTTGTGATTGTTGATCAGTTAGTACACTGTCAGAAAAATATTTTGAAAAGGTATTATCTTCCAAGACTATCCGTTTTTCCTTTTAACCCTTGTAACCCGAAAACACAAAATACAATGCGTAATTTAAAATGTAGGTATAAAAACGTGTGAATAATAATTACGGAAAATTCCTTCATATTAATAGATTTTGCCCTACTTTTACAGACTTTTCTTAGAGTGTAGCATACGAACTACTAATACACTGCTTAAAACTATAAATGTTCAGAATGAGTAGTTTTACTAGTTTACTAGCTAATAAAAATAAACCTAAATTGTAATTGTTAAAAAATGTGAAAGTGTTTAATACTTCAATGTTCTATTTAAAATTAGTTATTTATATTTTAATATTATATTATGCATTTATATTATTTTATAAATGCATCTAAATTAACATATTTACAGATTTGATGCAGTGACACAAGTTTGCATCGTGATTACGCAATGACGTCACCGCGCAATGACATCGCGTCATTTAGCAACTTTTAGCAACAAATCAATCTTCCTTTAGCAACTTCAACTTTTGATAAGTGACTCAAACGATAAAAAAGGCACACATTTTCCATCTAAATTACACAAAAAGAGGAAACCAAAGGTGCCTAGCAGTACACAATTCACATGAATTAAGTTGGCTGCTATTAGCAATTGTTTAATTTAATAATAATAATAATAATTGAATAATTGTTCATTTATGATACACCTTGTTAGTAGCTTGTACTTGAGTTTGTTGATCAGTTAGTGCACGGTAAGAAAAATATCTAGAAAAATTAAAAAGGTAGTAATTTTCCAGGACATTATCCGTTATCCATTGTAACCCTGTAACCCGAAAAACACAAAATACAATGCGTAATTTAAAATGTAGGTAAAAAAACGTGTGAATAATAATTACGGAAAATTCCTTCATATTAATAGATTTTGCCCTACTTTTACAGACTTTTCTTAGAGTGTAGCATACGAACTACTAATACACTGCTTAAATCTATAAATGTTCAGAATGAGTAGTTTTACTAGTTTACTAGCTAATAAAAATAAACCTAAATTGTAATTGTTAAAAAATGTGAAAGTGTTTAATACTTCAATGTTCTATTTAAAATTAGTTATTTATATTTTAATATTATATTATGCATTTATATTATTTTATAAATGCATCTAAATTAACATATTTACAGATTTGATGCAGTGACACAAGTTTGCATCGTGATTACGCAATGACGTCACCGCGCAATGACGTCGCAACGTCATTTAGCAACAAATCAACCTTCCTTTAGCAACTTCCCCTGAAAATTAGTTGGTTAACACTGGTGAGGCATGGGGTGGCTGTGGAAGTTCACTGGCACGGTGGGACCATGCACATGCAGCTCTGCTTTTTCTCTGATTTTCATGAGATTTCTGTAAATCGCCATGAGCGTGGCATGTTAGCATATCCCACTGTGAGATTTACTGCTGAATCAGCACAAATCAAACATATACTGTCGTTTAATCATTGTTGGTTTTGTTTGTAGCTGATGTGTAACAGGAAAGCTGT